AGTGGGGGGCGGGATTTAGAAGAGGGAGGCGGGATCTTCCGCCTCCTGTAGACCTGCACAGCCGGCTGGGCCGGTTCACCCTAAACCGGCCTAACAAAAAGACAGTGTGAACTTGCCCCATCGACTTGCTGTAAATTAGCATGTTTGTCGCCTCAACATCATTCCGCAGGCAAGGTAAAATGAAAAACAAGCTCACATCTTCGTAAAGTACTCATACGCATCTTTCTTGATGTGGCGAGGAAATCTCGTGTAGGTTGTATAGTTCTCATGCAGGCAACCCATATACGTATTTCTTAGCATGGTGAAGAGGAGATCCATATGTTCTTTACTTGGTGAAACAAAAAATAAACTCGTGCTGTCAAAAAATATAAGCACTCATGCTAATCTTTCTTAACGCAGAAGGAAAATTTGGTTTGCAAAATTTTCGTGCAAGTTTGAACACCCATACTTGTATATCTTAGCAAATGAGTCCAAGAGAATGCCACAATATTTACACCACCTATACATGCCTTTTTTGATATGGTGGGCAGGCCAAGCATTCCCCCTCGTGCTCCCTACGCAGAAGGTTTTACAATAATGTTGTTGAAATTTTCAGTGTCAAGTCTCAAAATAGAATGAGCTTAAATGGCTTTATGGACCTCAAAAATACAACTACATGTAAAAATAAAATAAAAAAAACAACATGACATTAAACGAACACCCAAAAATAATATTAAAGCCTTGTCAAAAGTTTAAAAAAAAAATCAAAACATAACACTAAATGAGAAGTTGACCGGAACATACAAGGAATTTGCAATGAATTTGGAAGTTCATAAATGAGAAAGAGAACTTACAATGAACTTGAGAGCGCACTTGTGAGGATAATACCTCCCCACCACTATTAAAAACTCACTTGAATGCTTGTAACCCTTAAGAAAAACTCAATGAATTAAACGTAGACTGAACACGAACTAAGGTGGAACAGCCCCCCGAGTTAGCCATATACATATAAGTTGTATACCTTTGAAAACACAAGAAAAAAACTCGTGATGCTACCAACTGGATTTGCAACATACATAGAAGCGTATAAAAAGAGAGCAAGAATGAACTCAAAATGAAAGCCACATACACACTTTAATGACAATGAATTCATGTAAACAATTGACACATTAGACACATTACATAACTCAAACAGCCATGTGTTCACATGAATAGCTTCAAACAAAGCAAAATGGTCCAACCTGTAGCACCTCATAGGATGCACAACTACCCAAAGCGACAAGCATACCAACAAATAAAGAGGATTCATACATATTCATGATTAAATAGTGCTTTAGCAACAACATCAAGCTTTTATCCCACTGTGGGGTTGGCTACATGAATCCTTTATCTCCATTGTGTCCTATTAAGAGATAAATTCTTATTTAAATTTAATAAAAAATATCATTTTTAATACCTTCTAGCAAAGTCTATTTAGGTCTACCTCTACCTTTCTTAATATAAGTCAAATCTAACACATCTATTTTCCTAATCAGGTTATCAGAAGGTCGACATTCTATGTGTCCAGCCCATCTAAGGCGACTATCTCTAATCTTATCTTCCACCGAAGCTACTCCAACCTTTTCACGTATATGCTCATTTCATATCATATCTCTAAGAGTAAAGTCACTCATCCACCTGAGCATCATCATCTCTACAACACTTAACTTAATATAATGCTTCTCTTTTAATAGTCAACATTCTGCATCATAAAGCATTGCAGGTCTCACCACCATCTTATAGAATTTTCTCTTAAGTTCGAGGGGTACTTTTCTATCACACAAAAGGCCTTATGCATTTCTCCACTTCAACCATCCATCTTGAATTCTACTAATAATATCCCATCTATTTCACCATCACTTTGAATAATAAACCCGAGATATCTAAAACATGTACTCTTATTAATGATTTGATCGCCCAAAGACCCGACTCCCACTAGATCTATTACTACTAAAATTATACTCCATGTATTCGGTTTTAGATTTACTCAAACAAAAATATTTAGACTCTAAGATTGACCTACAAAATTCAAGTTTTCCTTCAACTTCCTCTAGCTTATCAACTAGAAGAATATTATCAACAAAAAGCATACACCAGAGTACATCTGCTTGCAAATGTCTAACAAGAGCATCCATGACTAAAGCAAAAAAGATATGGGCTTAAAGCTGGTCCTTGATGCAATACAACTAAAATAGGAAAATACTTTGTCAAAAAACCTTGTAATTGAGCACAAGTAATAGCTTTTGCAAACATATCCTTAATGACTTGAATATAAGCTTAATCAATCCCTTTCTTTTCTAGAACTCTCCAGAGTACTTCTCTTTGAACTTTATCGTATGATTTCTCGAAATTAATAAATATCATATGTAGATCTCCTAATTCTCTCTATACCTCTCTATAAAACCTCTCAATAAATGTATAGCTTTCATAATAGACCTATCCGGCATGAATCCAAATTGATTTTAAGAAACATTAGTATCACAATGTAACATATGCTCAAAAACTCTCCCATAATTTTAAAGGGAAACTACACTTTGTATCATCGTGTACATCAAGAGATCCCCAAGGAAAGTTTTTCTTTACACCCAGAGCAGGCAACTCAATCTGAAAGCTTTCTTTAAATTGGACTATATTGGATCAACTAATGAGAAAAAAAAATTCAAGTATGAGTATTACATATTTTTGGGAGCTAACTTGGCACATGGACAAGTAAGAAAGAAATAGCTATGGCTAGATCTCATGTGGAGGCAAAATATAGAGCCATGGCAAACTCCACTTGCAAGATGATGTGGGTTAAAATACCTTTAGAGGAATTTGATTTTTTTTTACTACATATCCAATGGTCTTATATTGTGATAATCATATAGCTATCTACAATGCTAGTAATCAAATATTCATGAAAGGATTTAACACATCGAGGTTGAGTAACACTTCATTTGGAATGGGTTATCAAAGAAAATTATTACTCCTTTTGTTTCTAGTTCATAAATTAGTTCATAAATATATTCACCAAAACTTTGGGCCCTCTTCAACTTTCAAAACTATGTAACAACCTAGAGTCGACTGATATCTATATATATCAACTTGAGGAGTGTTAGTGTTAAATTTATATCAGGAAAGTCGTCTTATTATGGCTTGTGGTCCTTGTTAACTTAATGATCCTTCAGGACATTGCATTTTTTTCTCAATTATAAATTGGAGATACTCCTACTGAAAACAAACAAAAATCTTATTCCTCTTGACATGATTTACACTCATTGCTTCAATCTAGTTACATTAGGAACTATAAATCCATAAACATTCTACATCATGATGAGGGTTAGATTGTCATAGTTCACAAGAAAGGTTCTCCTATTACACTCGAAAACATCTTAGCACAAAATGTCTCAGAATTTATTCAATAAAGTCGAGCGTCCTGAAGTTCGAGTGTTGATTCCTTATGACACGGGCTCATGATAAGGAAGAGTTGTGCCCAAGCTAACAAATGAAGCACATTAGTTCGGTTGCAGAGGATTTCTTCTTTTTTTATTCTTTTGAATATTGTTGCAGAGGATTTCAAAGGTTGATAAATTGAAGGTTCTATTACAATTAAAAAATCAAATTTGCAGAAGCACGGCTAGAAGGCTGCTTTGGAAAAAAATTAAATTAGAGGAGTCCAAAAAAAATTATAGAAATCAATTGACTTAAGGAACTTCCGAATTACAGAAAAAATTTGTTGCCACATTAAGATAATAGCTACCTTTGAGAGGTCATTCAACCACTCTCCACCAACCCCAATAACGGCTTGTACACCTTGAGCTAGCCTCAATGCTCCCCTAGGCCCTGTGTTAATTGATGCTCGGACAATGTCTTCCACCAGCTTGGGCAAGTTATTAACGCCGTCTGGAATAAGATAAAGATATAGAAATAAGGTTTAAAAAATCGATATGCTGCCTTTTTATCTTGGGTAAGCACAATTACCAACCTGTATCAGTTACAATTAATGGGCTATTGAAATGCTAAGGCCGTTGCTAAGGACATCCATAGATGATAAATAAACCAAATAAATGAACATTAAAACTATGTACAAGCTACAGACTTGGTACAAGTTGGAAGCTGCCCCCATCTTCATGGAATTTATTAAAGCAAAAGTGAAATGCAATGAAATAAAATGCATCAGTGGGTTAGAAAAGGTACAGTTCATCAAAATATGACGTCTTATTTAAAATTCAACTCCACAAATATAATATCAACTGGTGGAAAGATTAAAAACACGGTCCTGCCAAGAGAACATAATGTATACCAATGCTATCAACAAAGCTTCACTGCGTGCACTTCTCTAACGGTGTCACTCACCACCTGCCCCACATTTAGTGATTAACACCATCAATTGATGGTGACAACTCACTGTAGCATGGTTGTTGGCAATAGTTACATTGGTTCTTGCAATATATGAGTTGTTTAAAGCTTTTTGGCAGTAGTTTGAGAGTTAAGGACAATCATAGCATTAAAAATTGATAGAAGTTATGAGTACCGGCACTTATAAGATAACTAGGGAAATATAAATTATTTAAAGATAACTTAATTTAGACATAGTATCAAAGCATGATTCATATTCCCTCTCACATACTGTGAGGGTTTGTTCAAGCCTTGTCAAGCTTGCCTTGATTTTGTAAGAGGTTGCCTCGCTGGTCAAGAACTTCCTAGCTAGCCAAGAACTCCACTCATTGAATTCTCCTCATCTAGTCTCAGCCTATGATGTACCAACACTCCTCTTTAAGGACGTATGTCGTGTTTGGCATGTGTCAAACACAAACACGCATTTTATGGGGCTTGTGCCCAATTAAAATAATATTTTAAAAAAAAAACTAGACAAACGTGTCCAACCATGTATCCTAAACATTTTATTAAAAAATTAAAAAAACTGGACCTGAGTCCTTTTTTTGCATCATTTTGGTATCAAAGTTTTAGGTTTTTTCAAGTCTTCCTTCTTTCTTTTAAAAAAAATGGACATTCATCAACAAGCCGAGGTCCAAAATCAGGATGAAGCTATCTCATCAGGGGATGAGATCTCTCCATCGGGGGAGAATTGATGTAGGCAAACTTTTGGGGAGAATTGATACAGTTTTTGAGAAAATCCTAGTGGTTGTTTGGATGGTGTATTTATTACCTTGCATTAAATGTTTTTATTTTTTCCTTTCTTCCCTATATATAGTGGTTGTTTTTATGCAATTAGAGTAAGAGTTTGAATGATTTTTGGAATGTAAAACCTGCGAGTTTTCACTGGCTTGCGAGCTAGCCTCCTTCCCCTTCCCCTCTAAACTTGTCTCGATCTTCTACCTCCTTCTTCTCTATCCAAGATTCCCACCCCATCCGTATCTTTCTTCTCAAAAAATTTTGTAAGCTTTAAGGGAGTAGTTGTGTCAATTTGTCAAGTCTAGCGTTTGTCAATGAAAAGCGTCTTTAAGTTGTAATCTTTGTTGTTATATTTATGTTTTAAGAAGGAAGACCTGAGTCCTTTGAAATCTTGTTTTTTTTTTTTCTTTTTTCTTTTTTTTTTTTTTTTGCATCAGAAAATGCCCTTAATTTGCCTAGAATGGATCTTGATGAAAATATGACTCAAATATCCTACATGCACTTTGCTAAAATACCAAAATGCCTTCATCCAAAAACCTATAAATTGCCCCCGTGAGGGCAAGGCAAGGAGTTTTGTCACTTTCTAATTCCGGAGTAACAATTCTAATAAGTACTTTCGACTCTTATTTACTTTCAAGTTTACTCAATAACTTGAAGTAGGAAAATCTTTTGAGAATAAATTTTTTGAGTTGGCCTATTGACTTTTCATTTCAGCTAATTGTATGCGATACATAATATCAAGCTCAAGATGAGTGTTCACCCAAACTCCACCGGCACTGCGGATAATTTCCACCAAGCAATAATTATGTACTGACATAAACAGTCATATGGCTTCAACTAAAGATAACTGTCCATTTCTAAATAAAATGAAAGATACCTTGGAGGCGGGTAGAGATGTCTTGAGCTTGAGAATATCTAACGAAAATGGATGGTGAGCCAAACCGACGATTAAGCTTTCTTAAACGCGAGGAAGTGGACATGGGAGGAAGCTGCCAACAGAAAACAGAAAAACAAAACGGGTGGGAAAGTGGTATGCGGCAAGTCATGCATTGATAAAACGTCTAATAATTTCCCAAAATCCTTCGAAAGAACCACAAGAACAACGAGAAATTCTACCAATAAAAACAGAAAATCGCCTCAATAACACTGCACGCCTGACTAGAAGAAACCTTTTTTGAACAATCATCGAATTAGCTGCGAACATATAATTGCCGATGCCGAACAACCGGTACGGATGGTTTTATGCAATACGATCATAAAGTGTTTGAAGAAATTCCGCTATAACACATCACACGCAAATACATTGAGAAGAGAGGGGGGGACAGACCTTGGGGTCATTTAGGAGAAGGGGGAGGCGTGCGCCCCTTAACGCTGTGATAGCCATGGCGGGACTGCCCTTGAACCTGCAGGTCTACCAGACTGCGTGTGGGGGTCGCCCTGGTTTATAAATTACGTCCGATGAGTGAGCTAAGGCGAGCCACTTGGCTGGTTCAGAAGCAGGTAAAGCGGGTAACTTTTTTTAAAGCAGAAAACTATCTAATAAAATAAAACATAGTGATCCGTCAAATTTTTAAAATTCATCTCAAGACTTTCTAAATTTTCATTGCAATAATAAAATTTGATAGGTAGCGAGAAAAATCCAATGAAGTCTAGTTATAATCTTTAGGATATTAATTGAAATATAAATGATCGCTAAATTTTATACGTGTATTATTAAATTGAGTGTATCAATGATACAAATTTAACAAGTTCAATATCACTCAATTTCGACGTCATCAAAGCACCTAAATGCTGAAAGAACAATATATTATTAAAGGAATTAATATGAATCATTAGATAGAGTGTTTTAAATTTTGATAATATTTGTAGGGCATGTCACTCTCAATATTTACAAACAGTTTACCAGCTTCTGTATAAATAGAATCATTAGCTTGAGATTCAAGAGGGTACATAGATTTGAATAATCTTATAGCCCCAAACAAGCACCACCGCCAGACTTCCACTATCCACCATTGTCAAATAAGTGTTCTACCCCTATCATTAAATCTCCCCCTGACAATCATTGTTGGATCCCTACTATCAAATAACCATTATTGATTTAACACCACTAGACATTAGTCCATCTCCTAATCGTGACCATCAAATCACCACAACTACCACTATCAAATTACCACACAATATTTTACATTAGATAATCGTTATTGGATCATAATCATAAGAAAATTGTCCAACCACCATCATTGAACCGTTGTTGTTGGATCACCTTCATCGAAACATTAGAGACAAACCATCATTGTAAGATCACCATATTTAGACCATTTTAGTTGGACCGCCATTATCGAACCTCCATCATTGAATCACCATATCGCCAAATCGTCATTGCCCAACCTTTACCGACAAACCATCATCTTCTGATCACCATAGTCAATCTATTGTAGCTCAACCACAACCATCCAAACATATATCATTCCCTCCCCCACAAACATTGTAATATTTTTCACTAGCAATTTATACTCTTATAATCTCACCTTGTCCAACTTCGGGATGGCAATTCTTTATAATCAACACTCACCAAGTGGAATTATTTCAATAATATAATAACCCTGTCTCATATAATCCCCAAACAGAACAGCTCATTTTATCTCAGATTGTGACATAATAAAAATATCAAGACCAGATCGGAGAGGATTGTAAAATTTCAAAGTAATTTATATTACAAACTACAGAGATGCTAAAACTTCAAAAAAAAAAAAAACACACACACACACACACATACGTACTTATCATAAAAAAAAATGCATTCATCTCATGCAAATTTAACATCAAAACAATAATCTACAAACAATACATGACACATACATCACAGCATAATATAAAAAAACTATGACTACTGAAATCTAGCGAGACATATCTATATAGACTAAGGTCTCAAAATCCGCAATTTTTCTATACTCAGTATGCCTCTAATCTTTATAAAACGGATTTTTAGTACAAATTTTTTTATTTTTTAACTAAAACTTCGTTTTAGAAAGCAATAAAAAAGCCGTCCCAAACGAAGCCGTAGAAAGCATGAGCAATCATAGCTCTGAATGTCACATTTAACATGCCCAAGTTTTTAATAATAATTAACATTAAGAAAATATATGGTATAAACTAAATTCATTCAGACAACTGTGAATAAACGATTCAAAACAACAAATAGCAGATATCTATAAAATGGAACATTTTGTCACAATTGTAAGGTAGAAGACTAATAAAGTAGCTGAACAGTAAACTTATCACATCCATTCTCAAAAGAGAACATTTCTCTTAGGCCCTTATACCTCCCAATAGATATCGCAATTCAAAATTTAAACCCTTATAACATATTGTATTAGCATATCAAATATTTCAGACCCTCTAACTCTCAACAGACAATACCTCAAAATCATTGCCAATCATTAAAACTTTTCTAAATTCATACCTTTTAGTATGTCAGCATAGAAATAAATGCATTTTCACATATAGTACACAATATCATAATTATAACAAAGTATCCTAATGATAACAAAGAAAGATAGAAATATGAGAAAACATACGCATAAAATTTTAAATGGTTTTGAAATTTATCAAATTAGCACATTTTATTCATAGTTATATGACAAAGCTTTTATTGTATTGCCTTATTATTTATAGGTGTTAAAAATATTTTTCTAGATCATTAAAATGACTTATTTTCAATGCTATTGCTACCTACTGGAAATATGCTAATAAAATATCAAAAATGTGCAAAATATTAATAACTACAATATTTCAAAAGTCACCGGGTGGAAATTTATCGAGTGGTTGTATATACTCACTTTTTGCATTAAAATTTTAAATAAAATATAAAAAAATCTTGAAAATTCATATTTATAAAAAATAGAGATAGTTAAAATGTAACATACCTCGGTTCGGGTAATATTCTAAATTGCACTAACGGACAAAAATGATCCAAAGTCATCCAAAATTGTCTTTCCCTCATTAAAATCTCTCTCTCTCTCTCTCTCTCTCTCTCTCTCTCTCTCTCTCTCTCTCTAGGGGAAAGGATTTTTAGGTTATGATAAAATGAGCGAATTTTAATATTTATAAAATAATTTGTCTCAACATTATAACACTATGAGACCCAACATCGCGGTGTTCTCTTTATAAACTTAGCCAAATAGAGAGCATGATGTCATAGCGCCGAGACCCCAAATCAAAACTAGTGTCGTAACATCCTAATTAAATACCAAAAAGATAGAAAGCTCGGTGCTGACCCCAACATTGTGATTCTCTCCCAAAAGAATTTCCAAATTTGTTATTTTTAACACGGACCCTTGAGATAGTCTTCTAAAAAGAAACAATACATTCATGTAACGCCCTAGGATCTAATGTAAAGATTGGACTTACTTAAACTTATAATTTAAATAGCTCATCCACCATAATTATTCAACCATAGATACTAATTTTTTACATATAGAAGTTGGAAAATAAAAATTCATTTTATTAAAAATGTTCTTCCAATAATTCAGATTACATAGGTCTATATCTTAAACAATTAACATTGGATTGCAAAATCATATCTCAAGAATCCTAATCTAAAACCCTACCTCTTTACCTGATCTACTCGATAAACCTTTTACTCTTTCCTAAACTTCAAAAAAAAAAAAAGTAAGCTCAACTAGCTTAGTAGATTCCTTCGCTTGCCCCTTACAAGCATCAAATATTTAAATAAAATTTAATTAAGAAAGATAGCATAAGCATTCAAGAATTTAAATAAATAAAATATGAATTAGTTGAATTTCAACACATAAAACTTACAAAGTTATCACTTGTTATTATAATGTCACGTCCACATAATTTTCTTGGATATAATATATAATACGCAGTCTTAGAAGTTCACTTCCAATTGTCATCAGAACTCATTCAGAGATTCCAAATTTGTTATGTATTATTCATTAAATTTCTTTAATTCAATCCATTCAAACACTAGCACATGAATTATAATGATTATAATGCACATGTCATGATGTCTGCATATATCTTCACTTCCACTTATATCTCCCTTAATCTCACACACCTGCATATAACAAGTAGGATCAGAATTCTTCCCATATCTGCATCATGCAAATGGGGTCACAAGAGTACCTATAGTGTAACATAACCTCACACACTTACTTTCAACAAGTGGGGTCAGAATCCCTCTCACATCGGCATCATGCAGATGAGGCCAAAAGAATATTTTTATGACCCTTATACAAAACAGAGAGTGCACTTTTGTCGACATCAGCACAGAACATCTCTAATGCCATGTAATGCAAAAAACAATTACAATGTAATAATAATTAAATTAACCATCTAATATATTATTCAAATGATGCACGACTTGCCGCTAAAATGCCACATAACTTATAAAATATGATACTCACTAAACTTTTCTTTTTATTATTTTTAACTTCAAAAAGCATTCACATGAATATTTTAAGACTTATATATAACTATTATCTTTGCCAGAAAAGCCATAATTTAATAATTTCAAAATTTTATATGGGAAAAATCGATCATCAAAATTTTGATTTCATATAATCAAAATGTTCATAAGAGAGAGTGCAATAACATACTAAAAATCACATTGTAAAAACCTCATAAAACTCAAGCAAATATATATTTTTCTTCATACTTTTTGATAGAATTACTAAAATTAAAATCAAAGACAGAGCTTTAAGAGTAAAAACCTCGTAAAACCCCGACGTCACGGTGCTTGCATACCAATTTTTTGAAGGGAAATTTACATACATACCACTTTATTTTATGCTATTTACATATCTAACACCCAAAACATTAATATTACATGTCTACCACCCATATACAACTTTAATATCAAATATATCACTCCTATAATTCATTTATATCATTCATACAATCCTATAAACTTTAATATTTCATTTCATGCACCCAAATTTGTTCTATGGGTGGTAGTCATGTAATATTAATGTTTTGGGTGTTAGATATATAAATAATATAAAATAAAATGATATGTATGTAAAACCAACTTATTATTGATGATTAATAACTTAAAATTACCTAGAGTTGATGATGGATATTAAATTCTCCCCTCCTTACAAAAATGTTATCCTCCATATTTCCAAAAACATAATTTTTTATTATATAAAAGAAATAAAGTGATATAATATATGTTAATGTTTGCTATAATTTGATGTTTATAGTTAGCTTTGGATGCTGATTATTGATGGGATATATTGAAATAAATAATTATTATTCCAATTAGATCTGGGGTCGTGATAAATGGGTGATAGATGTTGGAGACTGTAGTCGGTGGGTGACAAAGGTTAGAAGGATTGTCAAGAAAAGATGGTCATAGAATCATTGTCAACGGGCAATAGAGGTCGGAGGATCACATTGAACAGGAAGTAGATCTACCAATGATGTGAGATATAAAACCTTCTTTTCTCATTGAACTTTTTGAAATTAAATAAATTTGAATTATATAATAAAATTTAAAAATCTGATTTTTATGATAGGATTATTTTCTAAATTCAAACTTTCTTCCTCAATGTCATATTTCATAGATCATTGTTTGTCTAAAAACATAATTTCAATATCTCTCTCTCTCTAACTATTTTGCGTTTTGAAAATCTTTTTTTTTTTTTGGGTAATTAGGGGTAGAGCCCATTTATTAAGATCAAAATAAAACAGTTACACTGAGACAAGCCTTCAGAAAACAGACTTAAAACTACAACAAAAAATAAATTAAAATAAAACCCCCACTGAATATTCAGGAAAATAGAATAACAAACAAACAAAATATAAAAAACTTCTCAAACCCAATAACAAATCAGGTCTGCTGAATAATCAACTTCAAATCTTCACATCAGGCTCCGTTGAAGGGCATATCAAAAACTTCCTTCAGCAAAACATTCCGGAAATCGTTCCTTAATCTTTTCAATATGCTTTGATACGGATAGCATTCTTAATGATGCTAATGATTATGTTCGGACAAAATAGTCGGTTATTTCTTTCTCTCCAGATATGATAAACAGTACAGCAGACGGTGAGAAAACTGAAGCTCTTCTCCCACTTGGAAAGCTGAAGGGAATTGTCCAAGTAATTGAAGATCTGTATCAAATTCGGTCTTAGTAAAAATGAATTTAAAGCTTGTAGCATATTATTTATCGCATAAAAAGTATAGTCACCATTAAAGAAAAGATGTGAATGATCTTCATATGCATTGTGACAAAGGCAGCATTCCGGGCTCAATTGGATTGATCTTCTAATCAGCAAATCAGCAACCTTCAATTTCTGCATAAGAGCCATCCAAGTAAATATAGAATCTAAGAGAATAATTCTTGTGCCAAATAAACTTATGCCTAGTAACTTCCACCAAATGAGAGTAATACGAAGTCATAAAATCCTTAAACTTAGGGTTAAAGGAGCCATCCCAGGCTAAAGCCGATTGCTCCTTAATATCCACTAAGTAAATTTATTCACAAACATAGTCGGGAAATGTATCAGGAAGAACCCAAGTATGGACAGTGACACCAAAGAGCCAATTGACAGCAGGTCAAATATCTGAAAGTGCTCTCCCTTTTAACCAAGGATTCCAATATAAGGAAAAATTAGAAGAAGAAGTAATCTGGATAAGACAATTGGTTCTTAATTTTATGGGCAATGACACAAATGTTTTTTTCAGAATTTTGAAGCTTTAACCGGCGGATGCTTCCAGAGAGAAAAATACTTAGATTCTAAATCAAGAGCTAATTAAAGAATCCTGAGTAAACATGCGCCAGATAAAAATCCTTTTTCATAGACTACTTTTTGCGTGAAAAATAATTTCATTCGATACTTAACGCCACGTGGTCATTCTTTAAATGAGCAGCCCGTTGGTGGCCATTTTTATAACACCATGAGCCAAACGCAAAGCATTCAATAGTCAATAAAAATTATATTAATGAGATTCCGTTTCAAAAACACATATTTGCTCTCCTTCCTCGCAGTTTCCCAGCTTAGATCTCAACCTCCGAGGCTCCGACTCTTTCTGTTTCCAGCCGATGAGCCATACCCTATACGGTAATTTCACACATAAAAATCCACGTTTACAAAGACCGAAGCTAATATAAAACATCGTACGAATCGCTGTGGTTCACAGGACTTTTCTCCTCTTGGTAGATAAATAAATATATTATATTCTAATATTTGAATAAGTTATATTTGAAATGAATATTGCTTATAAAACAGCTAACACGATCATATGCAAAATTAGTCAATATGTTAATTAGCGTAATGCATAACTCATCACTATAATTTTGTGCTCAAGTTAATCAATATTTTTTTTTATAAATTCTTTTGACATTATGATCAAAGCAATGTCCTTAATGATTTTTTATTTTAGTTATATATGTTGCTCAACGAAATAAAAAAAAAAAATAGAAATGCAATAGAAAATAAATGACACTAAGATTTAATATGAAAAAAAAAGTTACATCACATTAAAAAATTCATTATGATAATTGGAAGAATTAAGTATAGATCTCTCTTCTCTCTCACTATCTCCTTGCTTTTCTCTTATGTTGCACCGTTCTCACACTCAAAATAAAAGAGCAAGTCAAGCTAATAACACCAAAGTACGCCATCCTTAAGAAAAATGAGACAGAAAACTGTTCAGTCCGTCTCGAAGAGTTGCGGCGCTTAATTAAGCCTCTGATTCTGATCAGTTTGATGATGCTATGACGCTCAAACCACGGCGTTGCGGCATTGAAGAGTGAGCGCTATAACCCTTTGCTCTCTGTCGTCTCTCTCTACAAACTCTATAGCGTCAAGGAGCTCGGATACCCAACGTGGAGCGCTTAAGTACACAACAACGGGTGTTGTGTGGAAAAAAAATTCAGGTGCAAGGGAAAGGACCACTTGCACCCTCCTCACGAGCATGAAAAATTGACTTGAGATCCGAGGCAATAATACAATCTGATTGATCGACACAACCATATATTCCACATATACTAACACTGAGAGTATTGATTGTGCTACTAAAAGCTATATTAATTCTAAAATAATTGACTAAATAACTATCTTTAATCTTGAATATTTTTAATCTTGCATGCGATAGTCACAGTTTTATGAAAATATGACTAAACTTTATTTTAATAAAATGCCCTAAAAATGCAACCAATAATATAGTATTTAGCCAAAATTATTAAAAAAATATACCAATAATTCAAACTTCTAACCAGTCTGCTATACAAATGAGAAAAAAATGGTATAATTTAAATAACTAAATATTTAAATAAAATTTTATTTACATAAATTCTATATCTGAATAATTAAGCTGCCTGTTTTTACAAAAAAAAAAAAGAAGCAAATAAATAAGATTATTTATATTAACGAACTCTATGATTGCCCAAAAAGAAAAAAAAATCACAGACAAAAGAAGAGTGCTCGTTTGGTTCTCTTTTTATAACATAAAATATTAATAGTTAATCTGATTTTATTTTTAAGCCTATGTTAATTTGAACACCACATACTTTTCTAAACAAATATAAATCAAGCGACTTAGTTTTTACTTAATCAACCACGGATAGGAGGTCTACACAGAAACAGAAGAGAGATCCTGCAATAACTAAACTCTTCATTGCTTCCACCTCTTAGAAGAGAGAAGAAGATGGTGATGGGTGGCTCAGATCAACTGCCCTGCCATCACAAAATGGTGATTGGAGAGATCACCAGAAGCCACCAGCTTGTCGCTAAGCTGCGATCACTAGTGCTGACTTCACCGCCGACGTCTGAGTGGCGGCCGGAGCTCGCGAATAATCTCTTTGAAGAGGTGTTGGAATCTTATAAGGTGTCGGTCTCCATGCTTCTCCGTCCTTGTAGTTGCTTTGCTGAGGCTTCCGAAGTGAACTGCTCTAAAGGAAGCTTGGCAGTGGAAGAGGGGACGATGAACGCTGAGGATCAACAAGAAAGGATGGACATCGGTTATGCCCATGTTTCAAGGTATAACTTACCGTGTCTTGCCTCCCGTTTCCTAAGCGTTGGTTGGCTGTTTTTTTTTATTTGAGATTTAAATCAAATTTATGAGGTGATTTAATTTATCGAGGTTAATTAATATGAAATTTAGAAGTTAATAATATTTGATTTAATGGGGTGGACAATCAAGCTTTTGGCCTTATTTAGGAGCTTCTCAATGCTTTTTCTATTTCTTTTGTTAAAATATTTTTTTGTTGTTCACTATAATATTACATCTATCGAATCAGCATTTTTATATTATGTCTAAAAAAATTTAATAGTGTAGTTATTAGATAAGAACACGACTCTTTGTAATATCATCGATCCTCAATGAAATATTAGTTGTCATCAAGTTAAATCGATTTACCTTTAGAAAATAATTCATTAGCATATAATTTTAGTGTTGATCGGATATAGTTCAAATACATATTGCATGCCATCTTATTTAGAGCACGTTGTTTATATATGTGTGGGAGTTATGTATTGACCTTGTTCAAATTATGACTAAATATATTTCGAACAATGTTTGAATAATTATCCAATAACATGGTTTAAATAAGGTACTAATATTTTTAAGTCATTTTCAATTATGATTCGAATAAGATCTTGATATAGTTTGCATACATGCTCAAACAAGAATCAAATATGTTCTTTGATACTTTATTTAACTATAAGATGGAGTTATGTTAACATGTCATAATCTATGATCCACGGTAGAAATGTTAAAAAAATTATACTCACATATGCTGAAGTCTCTAATGAAAAAAGAAACATTGAACTTCATTAGTGCAGTCCTTTTGAATGAAGAAATCTCGAACAAATGTTTGAAGATGACAATAATGAAGAAAGCCAAAGTGGAGAAGAGTGGTACGCCGTTCTTCCTATACAATAAGATATACATATAGTACATCTTTATTTGAAATAAAAATTTTGGTCATATTTTCTCAAGAAAATAAACAATTTTTGGTCATATTTTCCCAAGAAAATAAACATCATATATTTTTACAATTCACGTTGTTACTAGGCATATAAAGTAAAATTTCAGTAAATTAATTTGAATTAAATAAATTATAACTATAGTATCTATTATGGATTAATAATGGGCATTAATGTATTATTATTATTATTTTCTAATTAAATTTACTTGACCAATGATAATTAATTAAACATAGAATGTACTAAATGTGGTTTGTTTCTAGAAGGTAGCTTATGATGCGAATTTTAGCATGGACGAGTATAGAAAAAAAATTCTATGCAAGATTTTTAAACAAATAAATTTCTTAACAAAAAATTATTTTAACCTATAGCATGGAACATTAGGGCTGGTGGAAAAAATATGGGCAGCCTTATATGCTGAGCAGAATTGTGCAAGCGTAGAAAAGGAGATAGGAGAAGTAAGCCGAGATGGGAATCTATGTTGACAGATTCATTGAGAGTGAGCGAGATTTGAAGGAATGTTATTATGCCAAATGAATTTATAAATAGAAATGGGCTGTTTTTTCCTTAAAGAATTCCAAACATATTTCAGATTAAACTTAGCAACTTTCGAGCCTTTGAAATGAGTTGATCAGAAACATTAATATCAATAAGAATACAAAAAATATAAGAAAGAAACAATATCAGAATAAGAATAGAAGAAGAGCATTAGAGTCCCATTTCCCAAGTAGGAAAACTAAGCGTTTTCTAATGGCGCCAATGAATTTTTTTAACCGAGACAACAAAATAAATAATTAAAACTCTTCTCAAGTATATAAAAAGATAGCATAAGGAGCAATTGCCTAAAAATCTTTATAATAAAGATTAAAAAATACACGAAGGGAGATAAATTATCTAAAGAATCATATAATAAATTTTTTTTTATTTTTTCAAGGGGGGCAATTGCCCCCTGGCCCATGATGATAGGATAAACTAAAATTGATTTTATTGCCAAGAAAATTTATGTTTTTGATGTGTTAGCAGCTAATACAATATATAATCTGCTTTAGGATGGTAATTTATTAACATGATATTAATTATTGTAACTTGTTGGCATCATTTATTAAGATGTTACCAATTTAATTAACAGGGTAATATCCATGATTAACATGATAATGACGATGTATCCAAACTTTTCCACTACTTGGGCTATAGCTGGAAAACGTCGTATTCATTACATAATTTACATTTGCTATGAAATTTTCATTTTGTTTTAGACAAATATAATCAAATTTCTTAAATACCTTCACCTACAATAAATGAAATATCGCCGCAGGAAAGAGCCACTCTCAACGGCTTCAACCACGACTACCCTGCATCTCGATGGCCATCAGTGGAGAATGTCTGGTAAAAAAAAGACCAGCAATGGCGACATTCCAAGGTAAATATGTGTTGGAAGTCTTCTCCATTCATCTATACTGAAGTGCAAATGTTAGCAAGGATAGTATAAGATATTATGCTCAAATTTGAATTTGCGGTGGAGAGGAAAAACTTTCCAACTACGTGGTCATGTATCTAACTATTGTTGCAAAAGTTATGCATTTATTCATTTATTTCTATTTCGAGTGATGACTATCAAAATGCAATTTATTAAAAATTAGTTTATTAGGGTGTTCAAATCCAAGGCAATAACGAGTGAAAGCTCCTAATCAATTGGCTATGCCTTTATTCGTCTTTTTACAATGTTGCTAAGTTTTTTTTTTTTTTTTTGGGGTGTGGGAAAAGAGGGTGAGGTAGGGGGGTTTTGAGTGAATTTAATCACAAACTCACATACACATGCAAGCTCTCAAACACATCACCTCATGATTGGGGCCTAAGCTCTCAACTAATAGGCTAAAATGGGCAGCATCACTTCTTAATTAAATATAAGTTCACCTCCTCTTTTAAATCCTTTCACATTAATCTTATTGGAGCATCTCTACTCTTTTGTGTAAATGCCTAAGCCATCTATATATATTTGCTCTCTTTACGTATTGGTGATATATCAAGCTTGGTGTGAAGTTTAAATCACTTACAAATGATACTCTAAAGTTCATCCTACACATACTTATATCTTGAGTATGGATGAATAAGGCATGATTAATAGAATTTTGTACTTAAGGTTATGACTAGTTTAAAAGAATGCAATTGATATTGGTTGAGAGTAGGGGTGTAAATGAGTCGAGTCGAGTCGAGTTTAGGCTCTTATCGAGCGGCTCCTTAGATGGAAAGCAAGCTCGAACTCGAGCTCGAGCTCAAGTCGAGCTCGATAATCGAGCTTGTCTCACTGTAAACGAGCTCGAGCCGGCTCGCCAGCCATGGGTGGAGATTTTTAAATTTAGGCGGGATTTTTAAAAATTTAAAAAATTAGGTGGAATTTTTAAAACTTAAGCAGGATTTTTAAAACTTAGATAAAAAAAAATGAAATGTTTAATATTTAAATAAAACTTAGATGATTTTTATTTTTTTAAAATATTTAAAATTAATAAATAAAATAAAAGTTTCTAAATAAAATAAAATTATTTTAGAAATATTTATTCGAGCCAACTCTCGAGCCGAGCCGGCTCAAGCTTGAACTAGAGCTTGACAAGCTCAGCTCGTGAGCCCATAAACAAGTCGAGCTCGAGCCGGGTTGGCTCACTTACACCCCTACTTGGGAGTTATGAGTCGGGGGTGATAGTGAGGAAGAGTTAGATAGTGAGCTCTGGCTGATATTAAAATATCATGCGTTGAGTGATAACAGAGAGGCCGGACCAATAAGTTGCCACATATGCGATAGGTTGAAATTGTATGCCAAGACTTTGTGTATGACATCTTTTTTATTACTTCTGAAAGTAGCTTTTTAGTACAAAATTAAATAATTTATACTAAAAAGTTGTTTTAAAAAGCAATAAGAAAGTTGTCTCAAACAAAGCATAAGATTTCGTTTGGGACAACTTTCATACCGTTTTCCAAAGCAGTTTTTTTTATTAAAAATTTTCTAATTCAAAAAATTGTATTAAAAATTTGTTTTAGAAAGTTGTCCCAATATTTCGTTTGGGATAGCTTTTTTATTGCCCTTTATAACTGCTTATAAGTACAAATATTTTTTCATTATTTTGATATATTTTTATTTAATACTCCATGCTTGAATTATGTTAGTTGTAACATCATTATTGAGCCAATCATTGAAACATACTAAATTATGAGCATATATTCTATCTTCTCATTATTTTCATGCGGTGGTTGCTTTAAAGTTAAAAAATACATGTTCAAAAACATTTGTAATTGCCTTTAACATATTAAATATGTTTAATACTTTCTCTAAATATTAAATATTCACTTTGTCATTGAAAATTATTTTTATTAGCTTGATAGTCGGATTCTAAAATTATTTATTTATCTATTTAACTATACAACACCCCCTTTGAACATAACTTAGGCAAAATAATATCCTTTTTTGTTTTTCCTATAATTTTTTCAAAAAAAAAAATTTAATCAAATCATTTTCTTACAAATTTCAATAATTGTAACATGTTTTGTTTAGGTGATTAACAATGTCATTATCTTAATTGCAATATCAAATTGAGTTATTAGAGTTGCAATAATTCACTAGGTGGATTAATCAAGCGGGCCAACATCAAGTGAAATTATTACGTGCGGAGGCCGGATGCAGAACGTTGTTCGTAGATCAACTAAAATGTGCCACATTAGTGGTATCCAGTCACGGTAGAGACCAGTACCGAGCCGCGGTACCAAAAAAAGGATGATGTGACATATTCTGATTGATCCGATCCCCAAACGATATTCGACATCCACTAAGACTAATTAATCCAATATCAGGGGAACAAAAATACAAAACAAGAAGGGCAATAACTAAGCAGAAATGGCATTCAATTTAGTTCATAGTACTTTGGAAATGAACATAGAAAGACTCGAGAAATGACGAGCAATATCTTGGGAAATAAAAAAGACCAGCGTACCTTATTATTGAAAGGACATTTGGAAGGCAGGTCATGTCATACCATTTCAGGATGAGATCAATTTTCCAGCTGCCTCTCACGGGGCTCTACTATGCAAGAAGATCTCAAACTAATTATGTTCTCTCTAACTAATTAATCATTTCTTAAAACCTTAAAAATGATTGATGCTCTAATAAGTTTCTCCCATGCATGAGGTGTAGGATTCAATGAAGATAGAAAAAAAATTTCATTATCGTCGAATTACATGCCAAATCATCGAGAAAACTATTAGAAGCGTACACAAATCTATTGAAAATGCATAATTGAGATTTTTGAGGTTTTTGATCTTCCACGTTTGAAGTGGTATTCTCTAAGATCACGATAGATCTCTTCTCTCTCTTAAAGATGGGAAAAGAGGGAAAAAATGATAACTTAACAGTTTAAATTGGGTACCATTTTAAGTATATTTATTTTATTTCAGCTCATCAATTAAATAAATAAATACTTGACATCTACATAGTATTTAATTGAGATGTCGCATAAGTCAAATAATAATTTTTTTGTTAAATATATCACGGAGTTAATTGACTCAATTTTAAATAGTTACAAATATATGATATTTTATTTATATATAAAATATATGGGCCAACATATAGAAATTTTCTTGTAATCTCTCACTTGGGCAGCATATATGTTTACTTATTATTACAGATTATTAAATAGCCGAAAGAGCTTAATATTTATTATCTTTATGAAATAACATCTCTAGATAATCTGATTCATCAATCATATCAATATAAAATCAAAGCAATATTTGTTATAGTTCTTTGTATCAAGGCTTGTCAATGGTCACTATATTATTATATTTAATGACATATATCAAGTATGAATTTGTAGCATGAAAATTTCATGTAATGTGATCCAAAGCAAGATTATTTTTACTTTGTGCTAAAATGCAACTAAAGTTTGGTAACTTTATTTCAGAGTTTTCAATAATCAAAATAATAACACTTTAGTCTGATCAGAAAAAAGAAAAAGTTTATAATAATTTGAACAATACAAACAAGTTCTATTTATGCAAGCACATCATCAAAATAAATTACTCACGTACGAGTCACATGTTTTATAACAACCCAAACTCTTAATTTTCGAGATATTGTCCACTTTGACCTAATAGCCTCATGATTTTATCCTATTAATGTAACTTCTCAGTAGGCTTAAAATATAAATATTATGCAAAATAAATTTATTCAATATTATCAAAAAAATGCAAAATAGATTAATAAGATTATTATGATTTCCAATTTATCTATTATAATAAAATATAAAAATTTGTCTTGAATTATGTCTTTATTTTATTTTTTTTAATATTAATCTATTTATATGAAAATTTTGTCCAATGTATTGATAGAGATCTAAATATTTAGATTGCATTGATAGAGGTTGTAGTTCTCTCAAAATTAGTATTATTAGATATTTGGATTGGAGGAGCTTTGTTGATCCGATCCACATATTAAGATATATATCAATTGTTATGTGCTTTGTAAGCCTATAATAATGATTAATTTGTTTTCCACAATACTTCTAACAGAGATGAATTTAATAAATAAAATGGTAGTGCCCTTATTTATAATTGCAGCTCTAAAAAACCATTACATTCAAGTAACCGAGAGATTATTGGGTCAGGTGATGGGACGCAGCTTACGTTCAGTATTCTCAATACTGAGCAGTATTGAGCTCGGTACTGTGAAGTATTGAGTACCGAGCAGTACCAAGCTCGGTACCGAGCTCAGTACCGAGTAGGAGGTGATGTGACGCATTTTTATTGAGCTTTGAACATGTCCGATGACCTGACCCAATAATTTTTCCAAATAACCCAGCTTCAATGAGAAGCAGAGTTTAAAACATCAATCATACAGAATAGTTGTGCGTTATGGCATTACTGAAGTAAAATTAATTAGGCAAGGTAGCAGTATGGCTCCTCCTTCAGGCACAGCGTCTGCCACCCACGTTGTTGCAGGGCACCACAAATCCCGTTAAAAAATCTCTACATTATTCAGATCGTGATCAATATCACGATCTCGATCTCGATCTCGATCTCGAAAGATTGAAAAAGATGGTGGAAAAAGGACTAAAACGACGGCGACTTATGCTTTGGCTTCGACCACACCAATCACCACTCACGGGGACCATGCACTCCACTTGTTCGCCATAATGCCCCAACCAAATTCTCCCACTCCCCCGCCTCCCGCCCCGAACAAAACCAGTCGTACAGGAGGCAACAGCTAAGCTTTCGCCGGCCGCCCGGCATCGCCATGAAGGCATTGTGGACCGATCGAACTGACCGCCCCCCCTCTCTCTCTCTCCACGGAGATAAATCTCGTACATTTGCAGATCTGGCAGTTGCCGCGAGGGGTGGGCGCGGCGAGCGCGCGGGAGTGCTTTAATTAGTGCGCAAGGTAGAA